TGCCGGAGGAAGGGGGCGGAGAGTGTTTTCAGCAAGCACAGCATAAGAAAAATTGTTTGTAATGGACTTTTTTAAAGATTGCTCTCAAAATCACATCTCTAGGAGCCATAAGGAGCCACAAAATTCTCTCACCCCCTCTTTCTGAGAGGGGCACCGAGGGGTCTATGGACTCATCTCAAGTCAGGGGAAATAAGTATTGACTGAGTCAGAACCAGACCCCAGGCAGTGCCCCCGCCCCCAGACCAGTGTCTTGTCATACCAAAAAGCATAGAGGAGACAAAGAGAAAGCCTCATGACCTAATAATCCCCCGCAAGATGACAGTGTTCGTGTGAAGTCAAGTCCCCCAGAGCGTGCTCACAGCCAGAGGTTCTCTGCCTGCACTGGCATCAGAAAGGCCTTGAAAGACCTGGGTCCCCCCTGATTCTGTCCTTTAGGCGGGGTCAGGGCTTCTGGGTTGTTGAAGATCTTCCAGGCAGGACTGGGACCCTGAATGGGGACCTCTGCCCTGACTCTCAGAGGAAACTGGTCGCAGGAATTAGATCCTCCATGGTACCCTCGGGAGGCCCCTTCCTCTCTCATCTGGAGGTAGTGACAGATTGCACAGATGCACCATGTAACCTGACCCCCCCCCCCCCATCAGCATTTCTGCTGCTCCCAGGTGGTTCCCTGTGTTCTCAGCTTACGGGGGAGAATCCGTGCCTCTGCAGGACAGGGCACCCCATTTCCATAGCCCTAGCACCTTCCACTGGCTTGACCACCCTCAGGCCACTCCTGGAGATTTGAGCCGGCCACGCTGGGGCAGCAGAGGCTTCCAGACCTGCAGGTGGTACTGCCTTCTGCCTCACTTGACCCAAGCGGCAGTGACTCCCAGCCCTGACTCATTCCCTGCATCCGTGCGGCCTGACCAGCTGGTGTCAGGGAGAGTCTTCTGAGGGCAGACTCTGAGCTGGATCCTCAGTGGGACGTGGAACTGAGTCCCTGCCCCAGAAGAGTCTGTCACCCAGCAAGCGAAATAAGATATGCATATAAAAATAACTGTGCTTAGGTAAGGCAAAAACCGGCAAGTGCACAGAAGCAATAAAAAAAACCCAGCAGAAGTATTATATCATATAATTCTCAAAAAAAAAAAAAAAAAGAACCTGAAACCCCCAAATGCCTATCGACTTCTGATCAGCAGTAAAACATCACAGCTCCATAAAGTCCATCAAAGGGTGTCATTTGCTTTGAGTGAGATGGCCACATCTCTCATGATGTCACTTGTCAGATAACCCCCAGCCCCGCAGGACGTAGGCTTGTCATCCTCTTACACAGACCTGGGCAAGGCCTGCCTGAGGTGAAGGGACTGTAAAGGCCATCTTGCCTACCCGCCTCGCAGCAGAGAGGAGTTGCTCAGGGCCCAGAGAAGTGAAGCACTGTGTCCAAGTCACACAGCAAAGCAGGGGTCAGCCAGACTTTGACACCTTCTGTCATCCCACTCACAGGGTAGAGGAGCTTCAGGCTAGCAAGACAGGTCTTTGGGTCTGACTCCATTAACCAGACAGCCTGTCCATGCCTGAAATTCCACCACCGCGAGCACCTCATTCTTTTGTACCCAGGCATGGTACAAACAAGGGGAAACCATCTGCATTCCTGAGTTGCAGGTAGCCAGCCTGTGGCTCCAGACCTTCTGAGATTTGATCAGCAAAACATTTTCCTCCTCTCTGCTGGGTCTACACCTGCCGGTCTGCCTGGCCCAGTTGTCATCGGGAGAGCTCAGCAGGAGACATGCTCTTATGTGGAGCTGTGGAAATTTAGTCCTACCATAATGACATTATGACATTGGGACATTGTGAAGGATTCCAGGCCACTGCTACCAGTCAGGAACTCAGGCCCCTGTGTGCTTACGGCCATCTGAGCATGGCATCTGCCATGGGAAGAGTCCTGTCTTGAAGATGGAGCTGGTGGCCGAACAGAGATTTGATAAGCCTCAGCTTAATGCTTGTTTAAGCTGATTTGCTGGGGGCTTTCCTCTGAGCATTTTGCATATGTTAATCTTGCGCTAATCGTCATATCTGAGTACAGAGAGACTAAGCAACCTGCCCAGAGTCACACAGTAGATGGCTGAGGCAGAATTTGAACCTATTTGGTTCCTAATCTGTGCTTAGTTATTTATTGTGCTAACCTGCCCCATGAGGAGCAGCCCAGTTGCCCCCATTATGGATTTGGCCAGAGAAGTTGTATGGGGACACACCCCCACTCTAGTCTCAGCAACAGAGTGTGATGGTCCTCCCTACTCTAGGCCATGGGGTGCTACAATGAATGTGGACCCTCATGGGCCACAGACCTTTGTCACAGCTTTGCTTGTGCCTCTGCCCTCTCTAGAAGCCCTGATCCCTCCCAGGCCACCTACCTAAACCCATCCCTGCCACTCCGCACATGTGCAGTCTTCCCCCGACCGCCCCCTCCCAGGGGGGCCCTCTCCTGGCTGCCCGGTGAGGAGCTGCCCTGCCAACCCAGGAGCATCATTTCCACCAGGACTTCCTAGAAAGGGCTTGTCCTGGAGACCAGCTGTGCCTGTCATCACACTTCAGGGTGAAGTCACCATGCTGCATCTTGACCTCTAGGGCCCCAACACACACCCACCCCCACATCCACATACACCCCACACACAAACTCATATATTCAGCTATACAGAACACGCACCCAACATATAAACACACATACACCTCACCAAACACACACCTAGCGCACCATTCCCGTATCTGTGCTCACCCGTCTCCCATAAATCCACCTGCCAGGTCAGACAGCACATCTGGGGCGAAGGGTGACCGGTGAGGCTGGATGACCTAACAGGGCAGGAGAGGAGTGGCTTGGTGCAGGATGCTGGGCTGGCACTGTCTTCTCCCTAGGAGGTTCCCGTTCCCAGGGGGTAGTGGTCCAGGGCCAGTGGTCCTGGCATCTCAGAAGGAGGGGGCTGGGGCGGCGTGGTACCCGTGGAGCTGCGGGCTGTGCTGCCTAGGGGCAGACAGGGTGGCTCTTCACCTGCTGCCGCCTCTTCTCGCCCAGGAGATTCCAGCTCTCAGCCGTATCTGGTGCCCAGGCTCTAAGAGAAGCCTTTGTCTGAGACTATGGAGGATGGATTTCCTTTATTGAATATGGCTTTTAATTTTTCCCCTTAAACTTTTTGTCCAAAATATGCCCAACTCTGGAAAATAGGCCCTTTGTTAATAAGTCTTCTTATTGACCACACCCCCCTTCCCCGGCCACCACCACCTTTTCTTACTTCTAAGGAGACGTTCTGTGTCAAGGTCCTGGTAAGAAACAGCAGAAGAATAACTTGACCTCCCTCCCGCAGTGTGCCCTGAGCCCCGAGCAGGTGCCCGGGACCAGGAGAAAAATTTGACTTCTAACTTATTTTCCATCAGCATCCACATCCTCAGAAATCCAGATCCTGCCTGGAAGAAGTGGGGAGAGGGCTAGGTGTGGGGAGGAGGGTCCCATCCTGGGCTCCCCCCGTGGGTTTCCTGCTGCCTCTGGGGAAGGGAGCAGCCCCCAGGCGGGTCACACAGTCTTTATGGGAGCTGGGAGAGCTGTTCCCAGCCTGGGACAACTGTGAACATTTATTTCACCTGGATCTTTCTTTTTCCCCCTTCAACAGCCCTATTACCATATTTAAATGCAAGTATGTCTCTTTTCATTGACGTTTTAAGTAGCTTAGCCTGACCTTTTTAGAGTAGCTCTCTCCCTTTTGAACTTCTTTCCCCTCAGTAGTACCATGTAGCTAGGACAGTAGTCCTAGAGTCTAGTGGGCTCCTAGTTCACTCTGTTTGGAGGGTGTCTCTCTTTCTCCTCTTTCCTCTTCTGCTCCCTGCCCTTAATGGTGCATGTCCTCCTCCCTCTTATCCTGTAGAAATCCCCTGTTGGAAAGGCGCAGTGGCTAAAGTCGAGTGGCTCTGTTGGGGGCTGTCTGTCGAGTTTGTGGCTGGCTTCTGGCACCTCATTAAAAAACCACAGCCATTGGAAATGGGTCTTGGGGTCAGGCCTCCAAGTGTCTGCTTAAGGGCAGAGGAAGTTTGTCTTTATGTGTGGAAGTGGCTCTGTCTATCCCAGTGCAAGGCTGTGCGTGCACAAGCTAGTGACAGAAAGGAGCGGAGGGGAGGGGACCTGGCCTGCTGCTTCCTTCACCTGGACATTCTGTAGGCCTGCGCCTTGGCCTCCTCACTTATTCCTGTGGCCCAGTGTGTTTTTAGATAACATGAGCCTTGACCAATAAGGACTCCAGAGACCCCCTAAGGAGATCCTCCAGAGCCAGCTTCATCTGACCCTGGGGCTCAAGACAGAAGGGCCACATCGAAGTCCCCATAATTGCCTGGGAAGAGTGAAACATGGAGAGGGATCAAACAAAGCCACGGGGCTCATCCCACCTAGAGCCCGTGCGCCCCCACATCTGGTTCCATGTGTTCACAGTCTCCTGGGACCCTTCGGGTCTGGGGCTGACATAAAGTTTTGACAAGTCTAGAGTTAAGGTGGCTGAACCTCTGGAGAACAGCTGGTGTTAATCCGTCTCCTGGCCACAGTCCCTGTTCTGTCAAAAGGCTGTCCCAAGTGCCTCCTGCCTGTGGCTTCTGCTGACCACATGGCTAGGATCCCTGCAAGAGGCAGCGGGCTGGCCAGCCATGCCCAGCCAGCTCTGGACAGGCCCTAGGGGGTCACCAAGTATCTGTGCAGGACCAGTAGGCAGCTCAGCCAGGTTCTCAAGAGAAAGTTCCTCCTCCTCCTGAGGTGTTGTGTCCCTCCAGGACCAGTTTCTTTGTTGAGAAGCGAGTGAGGATCAAACACACCTAAAACTGCTGTGCCTTCCAGAAGCCTGAGAGCCACTGACCTGTGCCCATCCCCCTTTCCCCCAGAGCTGCCCACAAACCCCTTCCCTGGTGCGAGCTGGAGTCGGGCAGCCCTGTGAGAGGGTCTGCCCAGGGCCCTTCCAGGCCGCCTCCTGACTCTGACCCCTCCCTCTCTCCAGGCTTCCCGGCAGCAGCTTACGGACCAGTGGCGGCGGCGGCAGTGGCAGCGGCGCGAGGATCAGGTAGGAAGGTGTACGGGACAGGCGGCTCCCAGGCATGCCCAGTGTGCAGGGGGAAGGTAAAGGCCCTGTCGGATCTGTGTGGCTGCGTCTGTCCAACATGCCCCTCACCACGGCCCGGGGAGGGGGTGGGGACAGGGAGGCATGGGTGAGCCTGGCCACCCAGGGCAGCTCCCACCAGGGGTCAGTCACAGTCACGAGACTGCACCACAGGTAGACTGTTATGCTCCCTTTGGCAAAGGAAAACTGAGCTTCCTTTTGACTGTGGACCTCCTTCACCTAAAGACTGGCTTCTGGGCACCTGTGGGCTTTACCCTCTGTGGCTTCCTTGGGCCTCTGACCCAGCCAGAGAGGTACAGGGTTGGCCTCTGGGCCCCTGCTGCACTCAGTAAGTGGGCTTACTGCTCTGGCTAAACCCCCAGGTCTCCCGAAGGCCGATGCAGGGCCAACCCTTGAACTTGGTGAAGGAATGGAGCTGCTGTTTGCTGGAGCCCTGCTGCCCCCAGACTCTTCTCAGCAAGCTCCCTGGGCTCCCAGCCACCAAGGGAATGGAGGCCTTCTCTGCCTCAACCCTTCAGTCTCTAAATTCAACCCTTTTAAGAGATCCAGAGTCCTGCAAGTGATGTGGGAACACTTTCCCAGTGGCTCTATGAGATCAGACCAGAGGTCCCCCTGCCCAGTGCCCTCTGCCTTCCTAAGGTGCCAGGGCTTCTGCCCTGTGCTGGGATCCCTTGTAGCCATTGTCCCCGGCCTCCCTCCACCACCCTGCTCCTCCCTAAACTGAGTAGCCATGGTCTGCAGCTGGCTCCCGGTCCCCTCTCCCTAGGCAGAGCACCAGAGCACGGGGAAGCGCTGTAGTTGGATGTAACTGGGCTCTGAGGAGGGTGGGGTGGGCAGGGCACGGGTGCTGCAAGGGGACCAGGAAATGGAGCGTCAAAAGCCTGGAGGGCAAATGCCAAGAACCCAAACCCTGGGTGATGAGAAACTGGCACAGTGAGGCCATTAGAAAAACATCAGTAAAAATCCGTTCCATGCAAACTGGCACTGCCTCGGAGCTACAAAGGATCCACTCCCCCGAATCATCCGTTGGGCTTTCGTTGGAGGGGGCCCAGGAATTCTCGGGGGGCTGCTGAGGCGCATTTGTAAGAGAGCTGGCAAGCAGCAAGTGGGCAGGCAGGTCCAGAGAGCCGGGCACCCTCCACTCCCATCTGACCTAGCAGGTCTCCAAAGGCCCCACCTGCCTCTGGCCAGTGTCCCTTAGTCCCCCCCACCCCACCCCAACCCCGGGCCCCGGGGGCGGGGTGCACAGCTGCATCGTGCCTCCCTGTTCCGTTTGGTTTTTAAACTTGAGTGCTTTTTGATATCATTAAAAAAAAAAAAAAAGCCTCGGTCCTCCCTGTGCCTGGGATGGGGGAAAGATAACAAGAACCATCTTGAGGTTTTTGAGTGTTGTTGGTTGTTGTTTCCTCGTTCAGTTTCTTTCTTTTTTTGTAACTTGGATTATGAAACTAAACTTTAACCCAAAATTAACCCTGCCTCTCTCCCCACCCCACCCTGTTCTCCTTGACTTCATGGCAAGTTTAAAGGGCAGCATGGGGTTCTTTGTGAGTCTGAGAGCGGTCTCCCCCACAGTCTGTACCCCCTTCTGTCACCCCCACCCTCTCACAGACCCCAGAGCCAGGCGGGAGTCCCACCCATCCTCTAACTCCTAACCCTCCAAGGTCATTTCCAACCACACATTTTTTTTTTCCAGGATCAATGGTGTTTTATTTGTAGCCATTTCCATTGGGAGCACAATCTCCCACAGGCCGTTCAAGGTCAGCCATGCTCATCGCTGCACTGCTAGTGAATTGTATTCAGGAGTGTGCTCCCAGACCACCTGCCCCACCCCAGCCTGAGTTAGTGCAAGGGGTAAATCCTCAACTCGAGATGCCCACCCCCACGGTGCAGGCTTGCCCAGGAAGCTATGGGGAAGCCCCCAGCACTGCCTGGGGGTTATGGACTTGGGGCGTACCCTGGGCAGTGGCTAGACTGCCTGCTGTGGTCAGAACCTGGGCTGGCCTGCTTGTATGTAGACAGGGTACCTACCCCAGCCTCCAGCCGCACCTGTGGACCTGGAGCAGGGTAACCAAGCTGGGGAAGAAAGGCCTCTGCCCTTCTCTTTCTTTTAACACATTTTGACTATAGGGGAGCTGTCACCTTCTTGCCTCTGGAAAGTGGCCTGGCCTCGCATATTAGCAAGTTACGTACCTGTGAGTGGCAAAAGCTCTCTGCTATGAATCGAGAGGGGCCACACAGACTCTCTGGGGTATGTGGCATCAGTCCAGGTCCCGAAGGGCTCACTGCATGCTGATGACCCAGTTCCACCTGCACCAGCTCCTGTGGCCCTGCCCCACACATCCCAACTCCTCCCCAGGGGACCCGGATGCTCCTTCCGCCTCCTGAGCAAGCGGCCTGATGATGAGAGGTCATCACAAACTCAGTGCCTGTTCAGAGAGAGTCCACTGACTGCCTCCCTGCCTGGAGCTTGGTACCATGCTAACCTAGCAGGTGACTTCAAACAGTAGCAAGTGTGGCCTCTGCTCCCCAGGGGCTCTCAGGCTTGGTTGAGGGATTGGGCATCCTGCGGAAGGCCCTTTTTGTTTTGTTCTGTTTTTCATTTTTCTCTAGCTCCACCGTTTTGGTTTGTGTCCCCCTTCCACTCTGACTTACTGGGGGCCCTTCCTGAGGCGGGAAGGGCTGTGGGGTGGGAGGCAGCTTTGTTTTGGCTCCGGGTGGCAACTTGTCTCTGTCAGGGCTGTGGTGTCAGGGTAGGAGGTCGGGGGGCCCTGAGCTCTGCACCTACCTCAGCCCACTCCTCTGGGCCGACCTGCCCACCTTTGCCTAATTCCTCCCGAACGTGAGGTGAGCAGGGCTCGGGCGACCCCACCAGGGAGGTCCCTGCCGACTCCTAGATAACTTCACTATCAGTGGTCACTTTTCTTTCACCTTCACCTGGTAGTTTGAAATATCATCTTTTCTTGTGCTCAGTCAAGAGTTTGTTTGTTTATTTTGATCGTATTCATTCAGTTCCAGTGGCCCCATCATGTCCCACCCAATCCGAAATCCAGTTTGGTAAACGACTCCCCCCCCACCCAATGTGAGGGAAGTGGTTCAGATTTTCGGACTACTTTATTTCAGGGTGACATTATGGGTGGGCCCACATATCAGTCTTAGAGCTGCTGAGCCCCCTGGCGTGCCCCCCCAACCCCATCTCCGGCCCCAGCCAGGACCCCTTACTGTACTTTATACTTGCCAGTTTATCCCAATCTAGTTACGTGAGCTCCCGATGCTGGTGGTGAGTGTGAGAAGTCATGTTTCTGTTGTCTTTTCTCTTGCTTGGTTGGGGCTGCGGTGAGAGAGTGTCTCTGAGGCATACTTTCCCGCCTCTCTTACACTAGGATCTGCACACCTCCTCTCAAACACTCTTCTGAGCACGCTCAGCGGGAAGGTTTGTCCACACCTATTAATCCTCTCTCAGTGTCCAGCTTCCTGTTAGTACCAGCTGGTTTGCATGTTTTTGCTTGTTCAGATGAAACAGTTCAAGAAACAAACTCATATCCAACTCTCGAGAAATGTCTTTTTTTGTACAATTTCGTTTTCGATTTTTTTTTTATTAGTTACAACTCCAAAACACCTGTTGTCCAGTAAAACATTTCACACCTCCCTGCCTGTTCTTAGATTGTATGTATCTGTGGGACTGACTAAATGCATGCACTGTAGTCGATGTACCGGTAGCTGTAGCTGTAGTTGTAGAACATGCATTGTTGAGTTGATATTACAGGGTCTCCAACGGCTCGGCCTAGCACAGCCGTCCAAAGGATAGCACGGGGACCAGGAAGAGAAGGGGCTCCATATTTTCAATGTTGCCAAGGGGCTTGGATCCATGTTCTCGCCATCAGCCACCACCACCTCCCCTCACGCTCCCCACTCCCCCAGTCCAGAACTGGGTCACCACCCTCAATTGTAGCCTTCCCAACTGAGATCTGTTTCGAATGGTCCAACTTCAGTGAAAGAGAATGGAACCAGGGTTGGAAGGAGTCTCCAAGTTCTTCCTTGTTCTTGTGTTCTTCATACTGTTCTTGAACAGAGCAACGGATCTTTTCTTGTTTCTTTAGGTTCACCAGTGAGCCTCCCTGAAGGCCCTCTGCTCCTTGAGTTCTTTGTGAGCTCCCTCCCAGCCTTTCAGGGATACAGGTCCAGGTGGAAGCCATGTCTGTGTGGTCTGCTCCCTGGGTGGAGGGACATGAGACGTGGTAGGGAAGGGATTGAGAGCTCACATCCTGCAAATGGGGCATGCATCCACAAGAGGTGGATGTTGACATTGGCTCTTAGGTTTGGTGAAGGTGAGGGAGGCCCGTGGGATGAGTGGCATCCTAGTGTGGAGATGACAGGCACAGCTTCATGGGAAGGGGAAGTGAGGAGGGCTTGGAACATCCATAAAAGAGCCACCTGCAGTTTCCCTGTGTCTCCCCAGGACGGCCTTCTGGAAGGGGAACAGGCACAGTCCTGCAGTCTCTGCCCTCCACTCAGGGGCATGTGTAGTCAGCCATCTCACACTGTCTTTCCTGTATCTGTGGTGACAAGCCAGAAGGGAATGCCAGAGATTTCTTAGAGCTTTTGGAGGTGCCTCTCATCTTCACAAGTTGGTGTCAAGTAAGGTAGTACTTGCCCCCTGGAACCTGCCCTTTAACTCAGGGTGGTCAGTGATCCTGACCCAATGCTACAGGAGGGATCTGCACCTTTAGGGTGTAAGTTATGTATTTCAGGAGACAGAACGCAGCAAAAGGTCACAGAGCCCATGAAGTCCTCAAAGAATGTGTTGAGATAGAGTGAAATGTTAGCTCCATGGAGAGAAGCCACACTGCCCTGGCTGTCACCTGCGGAGTCAGGATGCGCAGGGACTGCTGGATGAGGGCACTGAGGCCCCAGGCAGAGGAATCTGGAAAGAATTCTTCTCCTGG